TGATTAAGATGTTTGTTTTGTTTCATTTTAAATTTTTAACAGTTTAACTGAATCTTTCACATATCATACAATTCACCCACCTAAAGTATACATACCTGTAATTCAATGGCTTTTAGTATATTAAGAGTGGCATACCCATCAATACAATCAATTTCAGAACATTTTCATCACCCCAAAAAGAAACCCCACTTCTTAGTAATCATTTTCTAATTCCCAACCCATGAAGCCCTAGCAACCACTAATATGCATTTTGTCTCTACTCATTTGTCTATTATGAACATTTCATGTATATGGTACATCAGCCCTGGCCAGTGTGGAGCATCCTCCCACACACTGAAGTCTCGGGTTTAATTCCTGGTCAGGGCACATGCCCAGGTTGTGGGTTCCATCCCCAGTCAAGGTATGTATGGGAGACAACCAATCGATGTTTCTCCCTCCCATAGATGTTTCTTTCTCTCTCTCTCTCTCCCTTCCTCTCTAAAAACAAACAAGAAAACCTTAAAAACTTTTCTACACTAAATTACTCTTGTACACTTTGGTATTAAAGGGTGTCCCATAATTCACGCAAGAAGTAATTTTGATAGAAAGCACAGGTTTATAATTAAAAATTGTAAATTTTTATTGATTCATAAAGTATACAGTATAGGGTTATGTATGGAATAGCATATCGGGTAAACGGCCTCCACGGCTTTGCTGGCACATACGCACTCTTGACCACGGTGCCGAATTGATGTCCCCGGATTCTCAGCAACACTCTCATGAGCTGCTTCGATGTATTGTGTTGAACGACTTGTGGAAGGACGGCCAGAGTGCGTAAGATCACTAATTGATCCAGTCTCCCTAAATTTTTTAACTAATCTCTTCACAGTTGATCAAGTTAAATCACTATTCCAACCATATTTTGCATGAAAATTGCGAACTGTAGCTGCCAAACCTTCACTATTTTTAAAATACTGCTCAACAATGAAAATGCGTTGTTCTTTCGTGTAGCACTCCATTTTTAATAACCCTCAACTGTCAGCTGTCATGCTATCTTTTTTTTCCATTGGCAACACTTTTCGGCACAAATGGCATAAAATTCAAATCTTGCGTGAATTTTGGGACACCCTTTAAAAATTCTGGTTACTTCTGGTTATCTCATTCAAAAACTCTGCAATTAATCTCACCTTCTGATTCATATTCACTTGCTTTCTGCTTCAAGTCCTCTACTACCAGGTGGCCATCCCTGTCCCGGACCCTGTTGCGTTCTGAAAGGTGATGTAAAATCTCTGTGGTACGGGCATTGACCTCATACTGTGGAATAGGATGATCTCCAAATATCTTTTTCAACCACGCAGCAACCTAATCATGCAAAGGAAGACAAATATTTTAAGTCTTGTTTGTAATGACACAAAGCAAGTATTACAAATAAGCGATCAGAAGCCAACAAAGTGCTTTCTATGAATATTCTGAAGACCTGCTTACTTCACATCCTAACTTGTCTTTAAGAAGATACATACCAGATGTCAGGAAATAAGTGAGGAATCACAAGGAACAAAATTACCAGAAAACAAACTGTCCTTTCCCAAAGGAACAAAAGCGGCATATAGGCTAATAATTGGCATCACTCAAATAATTTAAAAAAACAATATGCATGTGCTAACGAAAGCATTCGTATCCATGCGAACTCTGAAAAAAATTGTCCACAATACACAAGCCGCACAGGGGCTTGTAGGGCTGGGATGTGGGACACGGCGGCAGGTCAGGAGTGTGTAAGGACAAAAAAAGACCTTTCCTTTTCTTTGCAATGGCCTTCCACGATTTATAAGAAATACCTGGTGATTAAACTCCAACATTGTTGGCTCCTCTGATTCAAACAGCTCCTGGGTTCAAACTATGGGACAAGATAAGCTACTCTCAAGGCTACATTCTTGCATTCCCCTTCAGAAATCGAAATCCCATTTTGCCCCAGCTGGTTTGGCTCAGTGGCTAGAGCGTCGGCCTGCGGACTGAAGGGACCCGGTTCGATTCCAGTCGGGGGCACATGCCCGGGTTGCAAGCTCGATTCCCCAGTGGGGGGCGTGCAGAAGGCAGCCGATCAAGGATTCTCTCTCATCATCGATGTTTCTATCTCTCTCCCTCTCCCTTACTTTCTACAATCAATAAAAATATATTAAAAATAAAAGAAGTCCCACTTCAGTCTGCTGGGAGGGATTTTGTACCCGGGGGCTCCTCAACTCCCTTTTAAGCCCAAGACTAAGCAGGGGAAGGAAGGGAAAGGCCCTTTCCAGGGCCGTCCAAGTAGAAAGGGGAATCAAAGAGCATGAAGGCGGGACTGAAGATGGGCCCCCGGACTAGGTAAGTAAACCTGGCAGGAGATCCGCCCGGCGGGCGGGTGTGTCAAAGACTCGGCTTCTAGGAGGCAGCAAAGGCCCGCTCCAGCCCCATCACCTGCGCCTCTTTCTCCTCGGACGCTTCCATAACTGCCGCTCCCGCCACTTCTGGAGCAGATCCTCTCGGAAGAATTGCCGGGCTCGTTCTGAAGGCCCCGCCCACACGCCGTAGGTCCGGCCCCTTAGGGCCCGGGACTTCTGGGAGTTGTAGTTTTCACCAGGACTCCAGGCTGCTGGCCACCTCGCCTCGCCCCCCGCCCCCCATGGTATAATCTACAGGACGAGAATAGAATCGCATAGAGACACGCTGTGTTTTCTTACATTTTGACTACTAACTTGAATTGCTTGTCTTAAAGAAAATACCTGAAACTTGTTTTTTGGATAGCAGATGTTTGTGGGCACTAGCTTAAACTTTTTATTTTACTCCGGCATTATAAACTGCAGCAACCTTAGTTTTACCCGTTAATCTCCACTACCAAAGAGCTAAATGTGCTGGAGACGTTTAAAATAAATAGCTGACATTCCTGGCCGGTGTGGCTCAGTTGTTTGTAGGGTCCTTCCTTACACCGGAAGATGGCAGGTTCCATTCGGGTCAGGGCATATACCAGTTTCCGGGCCGGTGGGGCACATACGAAAGGCAGCCAATCTATGTTTCTCTCCCCCCACCCTCTATAAAAATCAATGAAAACATGTCCCTGAGTAAGGATTAAAAAATAAATAAGCCCTAACCGGTTTTGCTCAGTGGATAGAGCGTGGGCCTGCTAACTCAAGGGTCCCAGGTTCGATTCTGGTGAAGGGCATGTGCCTTGGTTAAGGGCACATTCCCAGTAGGAGGTGTGCAGGAGGCAGCTGATCAATGTTTCTAACTCTCTATTCCTCTCTTCCTCTCTGTAAAAAATCAATAAAATATGTTGAAAAAAATAAGATAAAAATAAAATTGTTGAAAGCATTCAACTGCTAGCGCTGACACTCTTCCATGTAAAGTTCTCTCCTCCCTCCGTGATTGTGGTTAACACTGAGAGTGATTCTTGATACTGCTACTGCAATGTATACTTTTCTGAGACTTATTATTTTTCTTCATTGTTACAAGAACCCTGTAAATTAGACACATGATACTTTACATATTTCCACATTAAAACCACACGCACATAGGCCTCCCCTGAGCTTGTCAAGTTTAGTATGTGGCCCCTCTGTCGTCCACAGGGTGCTTGTCAAAATTCAAAACCCAACATGTTTGACACAGAGGGTCTGGGGTGGGGCCCCATTGATCTGAGAATCACCTCTTTCTGCAGAAAACGGTTTCGTAGCGACAGCCTCAGACCTGACACCTCCAACCCGCCTCACGGTCAACCTGCCCGCCGCGCCCTCGGACGGGGTGTCAGCACCACCTGTTTCCGGAATCTGGCCAGGGAACCGCTTCACCACTGGTTCCGCTACCCACGTGGTCGCCCCGGGCAGTCACAAGGTCAACTGGAAAGACCATAGTAAATGTGTCAGCAATGCCCGCGCGGACGCTGGCAAAGAAAGGTCTAATCATTCCTTTTGAAATTCACATCCAAAAATAATACCTAAAAAAAAACACCAAGTAATCACCCCCACCTCGCAAAAGGCAGATTTGCATCCGGAAGGTGAAAGCGAGGGGCGGTACTTCCGGGTCAGGTGGGCTGGCTGCCTTGACCTTCCTCGCCGCTCAGCCATTTTGTCCCAGTCAGTCCGAGGCTGCGGCTGCAGAGCAACTTCGAGGAGCTGCAAAGATGCTGTCCGTGCGCGTCGCCGCGGCCGTAGCCCGCGCCCTCCCGTGTTCGCCATCCGTGCGAGATGGTGCAGAGCGGTGCAGGGGGCACAGTGACCTTGATGCTGCCCAGGGATGGGGCCTCAGGAGGATTCCCTTCGGTTGAGAGCGGCGCGCGAGGGGCCTTGGGTGAAGGTCAGGGCCTGGGCGCTCGCTGTCGGAAGCCTGGGCCGAAACGGGGTGGCCGGGCCCCGCCCCA